TCACTGGATTACGTTGGATAAGAATCGCTGAAAACACAAGTTTATGGCAAAATCTCGAGCGATCTTTATCCTGGAGTCAATCGAATATGACCGATAACAATGATGATGCTCTACGCTACATCCAAAAACATATAAAGTTGAAGTTATGGCGAAACCTGCAATCATTTGCAACTGAAGCATGGCGAGTTATTATCGTCCAATACCTTCACTGTTTGTGCAGACTCGTATCCAAGCTCCCGACAAGTTAAATAACCTATGTGCACATTGAATGTTCGTTCTCCTGCTCTTTGAGATTCATTGATTTTTCAGGAATTCAATGCAATGCTGTTTTCCAGAGGAAACTACAAATATGACTATGCTTCTCAAGTTGCTGAAAGGTCAATTCTGGGCAATAGTGGATGGCTGTTACTGCAATCTTCTGACAGTCGATAGCCCTTGCGCTTATACCTCGCTGAAACAGCTATAGTATTCTGAAACAGAAAATGCAAAATTCAAACTCCTGAAAAAATAGCTTTAGTCGTGGCTTCTTTTTCAATTTAAACAGCTTATCGTACAGGAGTTAAAAACGGATCTTTCTGCGGATATCATTAGACCAAGCGATACGTTCGAATAATTCAGACTAATTGGTGATGACACACACACACACACACACACACACACACACACACACACACACATAATACCCTGTCGAGGATAGTTAAGCATTAACGATTGAACCTCTGGGTGAAAAAGGAATTAGACTCCGCATTTACCAAACGATTTCTATGGTTTACAGTAATCTGTCAGACTACCAGAAATTTGACTGTTTCACATTACCTTTGACGGCTTCTCAAGAATAACTATGATTGGAAGTACGGGTGCCAGATTTTGTCAAAGCTACGATTCAGGGCATAGCCACGCTCATCATCAAAATCAGTTTATTAAAATGTGAATATATTTCGCCATTCTGAGCCGATTATTCAGAAGATTAATTGCTTGTTCAGAGAGTGATCAGGCTTCAAAATGTCATCAGTCTATATTTTGCATGCAACTATTTGGTACTCACAGTAACAGAACATCGATGAACGACGGAATCATTGCAACGAAACCTACTGTGAAATAGTTTCTAGAGTCACAAATTGGTCAGCATATTCTGCGCTTCTTCCTTCGTGTTTCAATATGCAACGTTACATGGTTAGCCAGAAGACGAGGAATGATAGTGAGATTTTATGATTTACACAGCATTTAGTTCCTGCCTTGTATGGAACAAAGATCTATGCCTGAAGCACCCTTGCCTGAAGTAAAGCTAAT